AGTGTTGGATAAAGGCTGGTGTTAAAAGACTATACATGGACTTAGTATACTAGTATCAAATCAAGGAGACTGATATTATGATGGCATTCTCTTTATGTGTGTATGTGTAGAGAATGAGAGAACACTCCTATTACTAGGATGGTTTAAGACTTTTCTTCAATCTTCAATCTTCAATCCATAGGGTGGCAATTAACTCGGTGGTTACCATTTCATTTGCTAATTGGTGTCTTCTCCGGGGAATTCATTTTGTGGCGGGATAGCCATATTTATATGGCCTAAGTCTATGGTTATGTAGGTTGTTTCTCCAAGTTTCTTCCCAAGTTGGAAAGAGACGAGAAGCATGGTGTTCCAAATATGAATATGTTTGCAGTAATGTAACTAGTTCACTAGTTTTAACAGCTAAACAGGTCTGTTTGTCTTTCCAATAGGTAATAAAAATGGATCCTGGAGAGAAAAAGGCAGTGTTGGAAGAATTTTTTTGTAATTAGTTAACTAGTTTTAACAGGTGAAGAGGTCTGTTTGTCTTTCCAATAGATAATAAAAATGGAAACTGGAGAGAAAAAGGCAGTGTTGGAAGAATATTTTATTATCACATTTCAAGTCTTCCCATAGAAGTCCATGTGTCCATACCTAGACCAGAAGGATGAGTCTTTTTCCCACTTCCCCCCTGTAATTGCTTCTCCGATCCATTTTAAATTTTTCCCCAGTGTGATGTAAGTAGTGTGCATCAATCAAATTTCTGTGTTAAATTTTCTAGTGATATTGATGGTTTAGATATTGGATTCTCGTGGTGTGTGCTTAACTATTGGCCCTTTTAATATTCAGTTTCACAGGAAAATTTTCCTGCTTCCCCTCCTCACTGTGTTCCCAACACCTTTTCTGAAACTTGCATGAGGATCTTGCGATAGTTTCGCTGCTTATAAAAGAGAAGATTTCCTTATCTCCTTGGATGCTGGTTTTTGGCTCTGTTGATTATGGATACTGTGAAGTAGGCTTGTCAATATTTGGGAAACTATCATATAACTTTATCCATGGATCTGAATCAGTCTTTAGAGCATTTTTCTTTGCTTTAATGCTTGCTTATTGTATGATTTTGATTCATGGTTTTATTGTTGCAGGTATTTGATTGTTGGTTTGAGAGTGGGTCAATGCCTTACGCTTATATTCATTACCCATTTGAGAATGTTGAACTTTTCGAGAAAAATTTTCCTGGGCATTTTGTCGCTGAAGGGCTAGATCAAACTCGTGGATGGTTGGTTCCTTATTTCTAGATCTTGACTCCATGCATGGTTATTTAACTGTACGATCAATTTCAGATAGGATACTTGATTGTTGTGTGATAATTTAACACTTCACATGACTGTATAAATCGATGAAAGTTTGGGAAGATGGTGAGTCCATAGTTATTAAAGGTGCACATGAGGCGAGACCTTTGTCATGCCTCAGCTGCACCTGACTTAGGGCTCAAAGGCTTGCACAATGTCCTAAGGTGGTGACCTCACTCAGGTGATCGACTCTGGGTTGAGGCACGTGCCTTTTTTGTGCCTTTTATGTGCTTTGGAGTAAGAAGGGCGTGCCTTTCTATTTCTTTTCCCCTGAACAAGTTACCTAGTGTTTTCTTTCAATATAAAGCTGTCTTGCTAGCATTAGTTTACATAAAATAAATAAAAAAAGAAATAAAGGAAATAGAATGCAACACAAAAACCAGCGACTTGCTTTGCTATCAGCCTCCACTCCTCCATCTAAATATGTCTCTCATCTCCTGCAACCCAACCTCTAGCGAGCAGCCATTTAGGTGTCTCTATCAATTTCTCTTCCTATATTTGTCTTCTATTTTCTTTCTTCTTCTTCTTTGTTTTATTCCATGTTATCAATTCTATTCCATTCCATCTTTTAACTCCAATATCTTAAAGTAAGTCTTTATGCTGCCGATTTTTTTTTTTTCTGATTTGTGTTTTTTTTTCCCTGTTCTGATTTTTTCTTTCTTTCTTTCTTTTTTTTCTGATATCCTAAATTATAATTTTCAGATTTATGTGTTTTACTTTTATTTTTTTGCACCTCTTGATTGGGCGGGCGCCTTCCCCAAAGGCCAGCGCTTAAGGCTCCAGCAGCCCTTTGCGCCTTAGTGTGCCTTGCACTTTCAATTACTGTGGATGATTCCAACTTGTTGAAGTATACCATATTTACTAGTTCTGTAGTCCGTGTGAGTAGAAGTTCATGATTTCAAGGGTATACAGTGGATTCAATTCTTCATCTGGAGATATGATCTTTTTCCTTATTCTTGGTTACTTTAGCATTGGGTCATCAAAATGGTACCTGATTCTATAGTTCAAGAACCGCACCCTTGTGATCTTTTGCCTACAATAAAAGGAAAGATCCACGTGTCCATAGGATTGTACTCAATGTACCTGATTCTATAGTTCGAAGAACCGCACCCATATGTGATTCTTTCTGCCTACAATAAAAGGAAGAAGATCCACGTGATCCATAGGATTGTACTCCAATGATATATATATATATATACTATATAATATCAGAATATATATAATATATATATATATATATAATATTAATATATTTTATGTATTTGTTTCATTTCTGAAATGCTATAATATATATATATTTTAGTGTATTTGTTTCATTTCTGATGCTATAATATTATTATATCTATGAAAGATCAATTCTTCCTTGTTTGTCTGTAGATCTGAGAGCCAATTTTCTGTAAGGAACAACTGAATTATCTATTTTGCATTGCAGGTTCTACACTCTTATGGTGTTGTCAACTGCATTATTTGGGAAACCTGCGTTTAGGAATCTTATTTGCAATGGGCTTGTCCTGGCTGAGGATGGAAAAAAGATGAGTAAAAAATTGAAAAACTATCCGTCACCTATGGAAGTCATCAATGATTATGGAGCTGTAAGTCTTCCTTAAAATAATATGATCTCTCTCAAATAGTGCATTCCAGTCCATCTAATTTCATGTTCTGGTCCCTTTCCATTTGGAATGAAGTTTCTTGATCTTGTTTATTTGGCTGAATGTTCTTGTTTATTTGGCTGAAGGTTGTTAAATCTTCACTTTTATAAATGTCTGTATATTACATGTTTCCCCCTTAATTGCAGGATGCTTTACGATTATACCTTATAAACTCTCCAGTTGTGCGTGCTGAGCCCTTGCGGTTCAAAAAGGATGGTGTATATAGTGTTGTGAGTGTTTTCCTTCAACTTCTTTTTATAAGCTTTTGCATTGAGAGAGTTTGAACTGGCTGCAGGTTTTTCATTGTTTAAAGGTTTTCATAATCTAATATTTCATTTTTTTTAGGTCAAAGATGTTTTCCTTCCTTGGTACAATGCATATAGATTCTTGGTACAAAATGCTAAAAGGCTTGAAGTTGAAGGACTTGCACCATTTACTCCTCTTGATTTTAAAACACTTAAAAATTCATCTAATGTGTTAGATCAGTGGATCAACTCAGCCACACAGAGTCTTGTTCATTTTGTGCGCCAAGAAATGGATGGATACCGACTTTACACGGTGAGCTGTCACTTAAGCCATTAATAACTCTGCTTTTATCATCTGGAGTTTTCTGAATAGGATATAGATTATTATTTTTAACTTAAAGCTTTGAATGGCACTTAAAGATGAAGGGTTGACTTGCTTCAATGTGTAATTTCTCATGTGAAATGATGTTCACTTGCTTCTTTATGAATCCTTTGCAGGTCGTTCCATATCTCTTGAAGTTTCTTGACAACCTTACAAATATATATGTGAGGTTCAACCGCAAGAGATTAAAAGGGCGTACTGGTGAAGAAGACTGTCGGACTGCTCTCTCAACTCTTTACAATGTATGTTGATAGCTATTTTAGTATCATGTGTTAGAATGTTTTTACCATTTTGACTGCATTGGCCATGCTATTGATTATACATCTGCATCTTCTGGTTATGATAACTGATAACTGGTTGTGTTGACTTGAAATTAATTAGCATTGACATCCTTTTTTATGAAATAGTAGTAATTATCATACATCATGTTAGAATGTTGTTTCTGGTAGCCAGTAGAAGTTCTTGTTGTGTTTCAGTAACTGGGTATGCTTCAGTCATGCTATTTTAATAAATAAACTAATGGGATTTTATTATTTTCACTGTTCTTTTAAGTCAAAGTTGGCATCCATGGTTTTGGAATTGTAGATCAGTATGTATGTTCAGGGATCTGGACTAAATGAAAGAATGATGATATTAATGTAGTGACCTATGGACTTGGGAAACGGTTTATTTTCATGTGAAAATGGTAGCATGTTTATCTCGGTGTTAGTTGTTTTGTTGAAAGGACACGCTAACAGTGCAAAGAATTTTCTGGATCTTGATGAACTCTGAAAGGGCAGTTGAGTTGGTAAAAACTGGTTTACTATTTGGTATGTTGAATTTGCAAGACAGAAAATGACATGGAGCTATTGCTGTGCTTTATTGAAATGGGTTAGAGAGAAGATTGGCATAATGCAATTGTAGCTTATGGATTTTGGTTACTTAAAGCTCTTTTTTTGAAATTCAGGAAACTTCCCCCCTAAAGTGCAAAGCTGTCTATTGAGAAACTTTCATTTTCCTACCTTTTAAGCATCTGGTTTTCTGGGCTTGGGTTTCAGGTTCTCTTGTTTATCTGAGACCCCTTTATCATTATTTGCTTTAGAGTTTCAATTTATGCTAGAAAGTTTGTATATTCAGATGAAGCATATGTTTGGCATTTGATTTTTTAGTGCCAGTAGTCCAGTAGTGTTTCTTTTCTATTCTATTAGTATTTTCTATTAGTATTCGATTAGTATTAGTTAGCGATCCTGGCTCAGTGAGTCTTTTGGCAATGGTTGTGCTTGTTGGATATGATTTTTCCATGTTTTGTTTGGTGTCCTGTTTCATCATTGTGAAATTCCATGGTTTGTCAATTATGGTTTCCTTGCTCCTGGTATAGACCACTACCAACTGGCTATGTCACTTTGGTTTTGAATACAATGTTGAATCCTTTTCTTGTCATTCATAAAGAGTTTGATTCTTAATCTGGGATAAAAAACTGATGCAGTTGTGACACAACATTTCTTTAATTTCTTTAATGTTGAATTTGTTCTGTTCTCTTCTTCCCTTTACCTCTAAGAAAAGAGTACTGCATGTCCTATGTCCTTGAGATTTATACTTTGTTTGGGAAAAATGCATGCAGTCCTATTCCTTGAGATTTATTACTTTGTTTGGGACAAAATGCAATGGGGAGAGGCAGTTTGAGAGAAAGTGAGGGAGCGAAAGAGTAACTGCATGTCCTATGTCCTCGAGGATTTATACTTTGTTGGGAAAAAATGCATGGGGGAGAGAAGTTAGGGGAAAGAAATTAGAGGTGGAGTAGAATTTTTTTTTCCTTTTGTTTGGCAACAATGTGGTGAATTGAGGGGAAGTTGAAAGTATCTGTTGAAAAATAATTAAAAATAAATTTTTTTTTTTTAAAAAAAAAAGCTTAATTTACATTTTTAACCTTAAAAACTAAATTAAAAAAGGCCCAAAGAGTAAATTTAAAGCAAATCACCCCACTTTCTCCTGGGTGACAAAATGGGGCCAAAGCGATTGGTTTCTGTACAATGTCCCCTTCCCTTCCTTTTCTTTGGGTTGTCAAACAAATAGAAAAACAGTACACTTTCTACCTACCTTTCTTTCCCTTCTCTTTCTTCTTCCTGTTCCCTTATTTCCCCAACAAGTGGCTTCATCAACAATTTGAGGCTTGGGGCTTTCAAAAATTGGCAAATTGAAATCCACCATCTTGACTTCTACCAACCTCTTTTAAACCTACTTTGCCCTGTATTTTTACATTTTAGAAAGATTTATAGAGCTCTTGAAGAAGATTGGTTAGAGTTCCATTAAACAATTTTTCTTGCTTTTGACCATTTAACGTTATTTTATTTTATTTTTTATTTTTTATTCTTGTTCTCTCATTTTGAAGTATGGCGTTTGGTTATATCTGGTGTGGTTTTATTGTCGCGTTAGAATTCTGATTTACGTATTTTATTTTGGTTTTTCAGGGTGCTTCTAACATCATGTAGGTGATGTTCGCCTTCACACCTTTTCTTCACAGAAGTTCTATATCCAAAATATGCCGGGAAAGTCTCTGCTGGATCAGAGGAAAAGGCCATCCACTATTGCAGTTTCCTCAAGTAGGAGGAGACGGACTAACTCAAACTTCATGTATAGTTTAATGAAAAATTAAAATAAAAATTGTGGTTCCAATAAACCTGCAAATTTTGGTCCATTTGCATATGTCTTTTTTACTTATTTGAATTTTGTTAAAATTTATTTCTGAAATTGCGGATAAAACCGCTTTTCTTTTCATTTTTCTTGGCTTTTACAATTTATTATGGAACCTAACCGTCACTAACCTTATTGATCTTGCTTGAATTTCTGATAAAAAACTTTTTGGTTCTTCTTTTCTGTTGAGACTTTGTTCTCTTTGTAATAATATTATATGTCCAGGAATCTATAAATTAGGACCAAAAGTTTAGCCTTTCTCCGGTTTGAAGTTTTGTTTTGTTTTAATAATCATTATATGTCTACAATCTATAAAATAGGTAGGAAATCTATTAATCATGTTTTGTGATTGAGGGAACGTTTAATTCCTTTCAAAACTTTGTATTGCGTATATTTCTTCTAATTGATATACAGATGGGATGAACCATTGAAAGAAGTGTATTTTCTAACAAGGATGATGACTTATTATTGAATCGTGCACGTCAATATTCGTTGAGCGGCACAACAAGCCTCTGAAATCACCACTGAGGTGCACTGAAGCAATCTGTTGTTTGTTGCCTCAGTGGAACTTTTTCCATTTTTTACGGTCTTTTGTTATTTTGTTTATTGGATTTTAATTTTTGTTGGTTCTTATTCACAAACTGCAGGGAAAATGATAGTAGTACATCCTGACTGCAGACTTTTTCTTTGACTGAACATTGCTGGAAAACTTAAAAGAGGTTTTGAATAAAATTATGTAGGCCCATCGTCTTCTTATGGTCACTTGGGTCTGAGCATTTCTTGTTCTTTTTGGCTTTATATTCCTTTCAATAGTATTATTGGTCAGTGTTTTCTAGTCATCACTGCCATTTTTTATCTCTTCATTTGAATAATATTTGAGTTATTTACAAATTAGAATGAAAAATTCTGTTTCTGATTTTTTTTTCTCTTTACTGCGAAATGACTATAGAAAGTCCATTTTCTTTTTAATTCTCCTTCATTGCAGAGTTTCCTGCTTGCCATTGTCAATTATTATTATTATTATTATTAATCTAGTGAAATGTTTTCTTAATGGGTTTATGCTTTAATATAAAGCCCGCGTGAGGCTGCCTTAGAATTAATATTACTATACGTTTGGTTGCAATCTTCTGTCTCCTGTTGAATATTTCTGTTTCAGTGGTTTGGAAATTTTTAATACTTTTTATAATAAATTTAAAATTTCAATGAATTAATACTGGGTTATTTATCGCGGATTGCATCTCTGTTTTATTGTGTTTCGCTTTTATGATATGATGTATTCTCTTTGCATGTTAGTATTACTGGAGAGGAATCAACGGTAAGACTCTTATCCCATCTGTTTGACACACTGAGTACGCTTCTTTGCGTGCGGAGCCTGAGTTCAGGGTATGCAAATTTTTTCTTCATTAAGGAAGGTTTGGAGTATGCTGTTCCGGCTGCTCTCATTAATTTTCCTATTTTGGTTATTTTCTTTCTAGGTGCTGTGGGTAAGCGACTTGGAAAATCAATGGGAGTTGTTGCAAAAAGAAATATAAAGCAAATGTCTCAAAAAGATATCTTTTAGCTTTTGGAGCAAGCTTGGAGAAGTTACCATTGCTTCACACACTGTCTAAAGTGGCTTGATATCAAGGTTGTTGACTTCTTTTGATTTTGGGGTTAATCCATAGCAATCTACTTGCAATTTAATGTTTCTCCAATTTATATCATGTTAATCATACATAAAGCCGATGATAAGGTTGTGGTGATCATTTATAAACCAAAAAAAGCCCCACAAAAAAAAAGGTCAAAAAAAATTCGAAGTTGTCTGGTTGGAGGCATCTACAAATTCTTTTAGCAGATCATCAGATGGTTTTTATTGTCAACTTCAAGTATGATTTCAATCTTTCCTCTTTATGCTCATTCTGAATTGCTAGCGGTTTTGATTGCCTAGAAGTTAATTTCTAGTATCCGTAATAACATGTTGTTTTTACCAGTGTAATGACAAATACCTCTTTTATCTTTTTGTTATTATAAACTCTCAGCTTTTTGGCTAAAATGTTATTTTACTGCGGCCCTTATCACTTCTGGAAAGGATTTGACTGAGATTATTGCTTAATTTCTAATTTGTCTTATATTTCTTGACTATATAGATTGTATGGGAATTCAAAACGTTCTGAATGGTTAATTTCTAGTCTCCCGTAAATGGTTGGCTTTTAGCCAGTGATGAACAACTAACCTCTTCATGCTTCTTTATATATAAACACTGAGTTTATTGGCTAATTTTCTTTACTGCGGCTTATCACTTCTGATTAGGATGACTGGATTCATGCTCATAACTCTTAATTTGTTCTGATATTTCTTGATTTTTAGAATTGTACGGAATTCAAAACGTCCCGATGGTTTAACAGAGAAGGAGGTCGATGCTGCTGGAGATGGATATTGAGAACTATGATGTTACTGAATTTATTATGTTTAGGCTTGGCAGCTTACAACAAGTTCAAGTACAGGTAGCTCAAGCCCTTTTTTTGTCATGTTTAGTTGATGTTCTTGGTGATTATGGATCTCCGACCAGATGATCATTGCTTGAGGTGGTGTCTTGCACGTATGAGGTACTCTCGCCCAATTACTCTGCGGGTCATTCTTAATTTCATATGAATTAAATCTTTTGTTTTATATATCTGTCTTTCATTTTTCTAACCTTAAAATTTATTTAGATTTTATTTTTCAAATTAATTCCATCTCCAAAAAAATCTTCCTCCTAATTTTCCCCCCGATATTTGATGTGTCTCGCAAAACGTGTATGCAATTATTATTATATAATCTTTGAAAATCATTAGGATTATGATAAGAAAAGCTTTAAAATTATTTTCTTTTTAAACATTAGATTATTTTTCATTCCCATTACCCAACGAATTGTTTCTTTGAATTATTTTATACATCTTGTACTTTTATCGTAGTGCTGCTGATTTCTCGTTGAATAAATTGGTTGAAACTTGTCCCATCGCAGGTTGTTAAATAGAATTCAGAAGTTGAGGAAAAAAAAGTTGCCCGTTGAACCTACAGATGTTGGTGTTATTTTCATATGCTCGTATAATATATTAAATCAATTTAATTAGAACGAGTTCTGAAATTCTCAGTGGTAATGTTCGTTTGGCTTTCTAATATAGTTTATATCTATTTATGGTTACAATTCATAACCCTTGGTAACTTGTCATCTTGCGGTCTTGTCAACATGATTAAATAGTTAGAGTTTTTTTTTTTTTTTTTTTTTATTTTTTTTTTTTTTAATTTTATTTTTTTTTTTTTTTTTTTTTTTATTCCTTTGACCCGTATTTTACTACTTAGGTCTGAACATCTTGAGTTTGTCAATAACACACTTTATTCTTCTATTGTCCCCAATCTTTCTCATCCAAGTTGCTAAATTTTTTGTAGGATATTTTTGGTGTACTACATTGGTGTGTGCTATGAATATTCCAGGTATTGTTGCATTGCTTGTTTTTCTGACTATTACCAAATCATATTATATCTTTTTTTTTTTAATCTTGAACCTTATTTCATAGAGATCTCTTGGTTTAATGCATCATACTCGATGCCTTTGGGCTAGCTGGATTAGATATATATGAAATGCCCAGAAATATCTTCTTATCTGGTTTGCGTTGAGCACGTATGTACTGATCCAGAATCCAAGCCTGACACTTCTTACTGGGTCTGATTTTGTAGGTCTGGAGTTAAGTTTGATTTGTGTACTTTGACATGCAGGGACAGTATATTAGGGATGCAATTGGAACTTCCAGTTTCTACCCTTTACCATGATGCCACCACAAGCTGTAAGTGCACTAAATGAATAATACATCTTTATTAGAATCTTGCACAATTATCTCTCTAATCCTCTAATATCTACCATTTGAGTCTGAGGACTAAAAGATTTTTCAAAAAATTGAACCCAGTTTGTTCTTGAGTAATCTCCAGGATTCTCTGTTGGTGATGTTTCAACTTTAACAAGGTTATCTTGTCTTCTAAATGAAGATTGGGATTTTCACTTGCCTTTTTATGTATTTGCATGGTATTATTGTGGTGCTATGTTAGTTTTTGGTAGTCGCTATATTGTCAGCGTGATAATCTGCAGGCTTTGTGTATAACTGTTCATTTCCTATATAAATTGGTGTCACAAATTTGCAGTAATAATTGGGCGAGGAGAGTTACCATCAAGTTTAGAATTGTCTTTCACCATTTATTGGCAAGAGCTGCCTTTCGTTCAAACTCGGATGCTATTGTGCATTATTATTAGGTTCATTCTTTCTCGAGTCTCTGTCATAATCTCTTCTCCTTTTCCCACTCCTTGACCACTTACTCCCCGTTCTCTCCCTTTGCCTGTCTGGGTTTGGCTGCTTTATGAATGTGGATTTTTCTTATAAGTCCTCATGGCCTAATTTGTTGCAGGAAATTAAAAAATTGCCTAAGAGGGCCGGAAACTTTCTCTTATCTAGGATCTATTAACCTGAGGTTGGAATTCAGTGCCAAAAAATTGGCCTAGGTTGTTCTTCCTATCTCATTGGCAAAAAGCATATTGACCAATATTTAGTACTTGGTCTTGGTCTCATGGAACTTTCATTCATTTTACTTCTTCAATAACAGTTGATGTGCATTTGAAAATCAGCCTCCCGTCGGATTGTGTATTGGTAGGAACATTATTTTTGACTGTTGGCGACTACTGTTTCAGAACAAAAGGCGTGAATTTTGATTCCTGTATTGGAACTAGATTTTTTACTTTAGTTTATGTTAAGATGATTAGCTCATCGTAAAGGATATAAAATGAGACGTGAATCCCATTCTCTTGTCAAAAAAGAGTGCAGGGTACGTATTGGTATGATAATTTCTTTT